TCACCGAGGCCACGGCCACCCGCAGATTATGCAGGGTGCGCACTGTTTGCGTCACCGAGGCCACGGCCCTCCGCAGATTATGCAGGGTGCGCACTGTTTGCGTCACCGAGGCCACGGCCCTCCGCAGATTATACTATATCCGCCGCCGCCGCCCCGCAACCACGGCCCCTCTGCTCCCGACAGCCCCTGCCGGTCGCGCAGGTGGATCGAGCCAACAGACAAGAACCAATTGGACAACGGAGGAGGAGGAGGAGGAGGAGGAGGAGGAGGAGGAGGAGGAGGAGGAGGAGGAGGAGAGGAGTGGATCGAACCAACAGACTGGAACTGCTCGCCGATGGACGACTAAACCATCGCCAAGATGGCCACGCAAGCTGCGCTTCTGCTGCGGCGGCGAGAGGCGAAAAGGTCCGGCCATGCTCCGGCAGGGGCGCCGGCTCCTCCGAAAAGCCCGCCGCCCGGCCCAATCGACGCTGGGGACAATGTGGACGTCCACCCATTGAAGGGGAACTGGGACACACAAATAAATAGACACAAATAAAAAGATTCCCCATATTTTTGCATATTTTCTGGGTTTCTGTCTCCCCCCCCACTTCCCATATTTTCCCATATTTTCTGGAGATCGACGATTAATTGTGTCTGTGTGTTTCTTTTCCTCCTGACCCATTCCTGGCGCGCCAGCTTTCGGCTTCCAGCACCGTGGGCCCGCAAACATGGCGTTCCGACGTGCAGGCAGAGTGGATCGATGTAACTTTGGCCCGCGAGGAACGCAGGAACCAAGAGTCGAGGTTGCTGAAGACCCGTGGAGACCCCAGGAACTCCTCCCAGAAATTACCGCGACGGTGGTGCTTGCATCTTGAAATCCCCCAGTCCGTGCAGTTGCTCGCTCAGGCTGTCGCCTCTGATGCCGGAGGCAGGGGCTGCTGCTCAGCGCCGGTGCAGGGATGACCCGTGCTCATCAACAGCATGCCACTCTTATCCAACTAAATAGCAGAAAGAAGACTAGTTGTGAGCATGACAACGAAGAGAACGGTGAGAGGCCGGTGCCTCGAAGAGCTCGTGGATCCAAACACCTCTGCCCTGTGCGGCCACTTTGTCCGCCCCGACCCCAGAGGGGCGGGCTCCCAGGGCGCGGGGGCGCACTGCCCCAGGGAGCGACGTGCTCGCGACGGCGGGCCACCCCCGCCCGAGGCCAGAGAGGGGGGGGGGGATCGAAGGAGCGCGCCTGCTGTCGGATGCTGCGGCTACCCACCCGCCCCCCGGGCCTCCACGGCCAGGTGCGCGGGCAGCAGTCGACTGGCACGTGGGGGCGCACTGGAGCCTGCCGTCGCCGTAGGCCTCTGCGGGGGGGCGGCACCAGGGGCAGCAGGGGCCCCGGGCGCCGCCTCTGGCGGCACAGCGGGTTCCTCTCCACCTGCCTGGCGGGCCGCGTGCGAAAAGAGCGGCAGCCCCTGGCACTCCTGCGCTGCCCTCGTTCACCGTCTTACCAGTCGCCGTGAAACGCGTGACGTCTCCAGCATGTGTCGTCGTGAGCTGCTCCCACCGACGCCGACGCTCCTGAGAACATACCGTTTGCGACACTCTGCAACTGAATGTCACGACCCTCCGCGCCAAGCGAGAGCTCCATCCTACCCTCGGCTGAGAGCTCGTACTTCCCCCCAGCGCGAAGGAAGATGCTGTCGAACACGTGTTGGCCAATCTTCCCCTCGACCAGGTCCCCGATGTCGTGCTCAGAGGGGGGTATCGCAGCAGCCGCAGGCTTGGCCGCGCCAACATCGCTGGCCAACGCCACGATGCCCTTGTGCTCCCAACCTCCCCCTTGCAGACGGCACCGAACGCCGGCTCCCCAAGACGCCACAGGAGTCGGGCGAGAGGGGGTCGAGGCGAACGTGTGCATTCGTCCACTCGTGCATGGCGACGCCGCCACAGAGCCAGCTCTGTGGAAGGGCGATGGGGACGCATGGTGAGCATCCCCTGCCGCGAGCCTGCCCGCGCCGCCGCCGCCGCTCCTCGGGCACCTCCTCAAGCCCGGCAACCTTGGCGTGCGCGGCGGAGGCATGTTGCTGGACAGGTGCCCGGTCTGCTCGGGGCTCGACAAGCTTGGCCATGCCCCCGTACGGTTGGCGGCGCGCGCGGGGGGATAGGGGGCCGGGGGGGAGGCTTCTTCGAAGTAGGCTGCTTCTTAGAAGGCGCGGGCCCACGCCTTCTGAGAAGCAAGGGTGCTTTTGAGACACCTCCCGCCCTCCCCCATACCCCCCTCCGCGCGTGGCTGACGCATGTCCCCGTACCGGCTGCAAAGTAGTTTGTCGCCCTCCCTCTTGGTGAGCTCAAACGGTGCCCGCAGGTCCTCCACGGACAGCTTCGCTTCGTCCGCAAATCGCGCACGCTGGCTGCCTCCTCCAATGCCAGCCTCTGGTGCTGGCAACCCAGACCCCCGACGTAATGATTTTGTTCGTTACGTCGACCCCTATAGGGGTCCCGACCCGTTCCCCGTGACCGGCTTTGCATCCTGAGTCGTTGTTTGACGCTCCCGAGGCCCGGGGTGAGGGCCCCCGGGGGCTGAAAATTTAGAGAAACCTTCCGTCATGACTTGTTCCTTACTCGAGGGGGTCTGGCAAGGCACGTCCGCCTCGGGCTGACGTGGAGCGCCTCCGACCAGCACGGTCTTCAGCACCGCGAGCGCCGTGGAGGTCCTCGCCGAATGCTCCCGGGGAGACCGACGGGCGCCCATACCGCTGCTCCCCGGACCTCTCTCGGGGTGCGTTCTGGGCCGAACTTCGAGGCGAATCCAGCGTTGGCGACGAAGGAGCGCGTTTCTTCATTTTCGGCGATAGTGGGCACTATAGGGGGGGGGAGGGGCCAGGGGGGGGGTACAATGTAACGCCTCCCCCCGCCGTGCGCACGGCGGCAGTGCCCGGAGCGCACTGGGGAGGAAGGGCGTTACGTTGTAGGGGGCGGGAGGGGGGGCCGGGGGCTATAATGCCCATTATGCCCCAAGCAATAAAGAAACAAGCTCAAGGCCTCCCGGGAGGCCCAAAGAGAGGGAAACGAGGAAAAGGCAGAAATAAGGATACCTTTTTCCCCAATCAGTGCTTGCACTGAAGGGGCCCAGCAGAAGTTGAAAAAGTTGGCGAACGTTCCCCGCCGATTTTGGTGGCAGGCTGGGTTCCCGGGTTCCCAGGTTCCCGGATCCGGGTTCCCGGGGATCCGGGTTCCAGGTTCCAGGCCGATTTCGGCGGGCGGCGAGGTTCCCAGATTCCCGGGTTCCTGGTCGATCTTCTTATCGATCGGTCTCACCATCGATCTCACAATTATCTCACTATCGATCTCACAAGCGATCTCACTAGAGATCACATGAGCGATCTCGCGATCGATCTCACTACCGATCTCATTGAATCGATTTCACTCTCGGTCTCACGATCGACCTTACTATCGTCCTCACTATCGGTTCCACTATCGATCTCATTATCGATCTCACAATCGATCTCAAGATCCATAGTATCAATGTTCAAATCATCCACTGATTGGGGTTTTCTCATGTGTAATTCCTCCTCTGAATTCCGGCATCCGTCCGCCAGGATTTGCGACGTTTGCAGGCAGCCCACTTGACTCAGGTCGGGCATGTCCCCCTACAGGCGGATTTTGGGCGAAAAATCAAAAGCATTCAAAAAGCAAGCAAAAATTCACAAGAAAAGTCGTTTATCTACTATTTTTGTCTTGCACCCGCACGCCCCAAACACGCCCACCTCCTGTGAGGGGCAACGATAGGGGGGGATAGGAATAGGGGAGGAAACATCGACCTGGAATCGGCGATACACCCCGATAGATCGGCGATAGGCCGCCGATAGTGAATCCTCACGTTCCTGGGCAGGTTGGGGCTATCGGGCCTCTATCAGCATTCAATGGGCGATTGGGGGTCAATATATCCCCACATGTGCCTATCCCCCCCTACCGTTGCCCCTGTTCCTGGGGCGAGAGAGCGGCCGGTCACGCCCTGCAAGCGGAACGGACTCGGCCAGGTCCCCGACCTGGCTGCCCTCGTCCAGGCTGGTGCTGCCAGGGTTTGGTCGGGCATGTCCCCCTACAGGCAGATTTTGGAGGAATGCTAACAAATAGTCAACAAATACCCCAAAATAATCAAAATAATCAAACAATCTTCCCCAGAATATGTTTTGACTATTTGTGAATATTCCCCCTGTAGAGGGACATGCCCGATTTAAGTCCAGGCTGGTGCTGCCAGCGGGGGTCCCATCGGCCAGGGCTCTTCCAGCGGTTGGCCGCATCTCCCACAGCACGGCAAAGGGAACTGGTGAGAGAAGGAAGAAAATCTGCGACTGCAGCCTCGCTGCCGTGGCCGAGTGATTCGTTCGTGCAGCGCCGTTCGGAAGCTCGCACGGCCAGGCTCAGGAATATCATGAACCAGAACGGCTGGAGGATGCACGGATGGATGGGAAAAAAGAGAATGGAGAGGAGAGTGCGCGGAGGAGTGCGGGAAGGGAGAAGAGGAAGAAGGAGGAAGAGGAGGATGAGGAGGGGGGAAGGAGGAAGGAAGAAGGGAGGAAAAGAAAAAGGAAGGATGATGACGAGGAGGAGGGCGGAGGAGGACGAGGAGGAGGAGGAGAAGGAGGAGGAGGAGGAGGAGGAGGAGGACGACGAGGAGGAGGAGGAGGAGGAGGCGGAGAAGGCAAAGTAAACGAAGTAGTCCACCTGGAACTCCCCGGTGCAGGCATATGGGCGGTCCCTCTGCGAGGCACCTGCGGGCGGCGGGGGAGAAGCATACTTTTTTCTCGTCGGGGCTCGAGGAGTCAGGACAGTGGACTCATCGAGAATGCTCGACGACCCTGGTTCCTGAACGTTTTTGTCCCGTTCTCCAGCCTCTGGGGGCTTCTGGAAGCCTCCGCGGAAGCACCTGGGGACCTCTTGAAGCCTGGGATGACCTCCGCTCGATCCTTTCGCTACCCTCCCTTCCCCTGTCCACTCCCTGCCTTTTGTGTTTTCGTTGTTTCCTCGACTCTCCCCAGTTCATCCCCCCACATTCAGGGCCTCGATGTCCGTCGCTCCAATGTCCCTCTTCGGTGTCATCAGATTTCCTCCTGTGAAGACAGCACAACCCACGCCCACCCCCACCCAGGACCCCCCCCCGACCTGGTGGTCCAGGGGATCCTGGTTGGGGGCGAGGATGGCTGTTTGTCCCCCAAGAACCCCAAAAGGCCCGCCCCCAACCCCTATCCATGGCTTACCAGGTCGGGAATGGAATCCTCGCTGAGGGGGGGGTGCTGTCCTAATCCCCCCTTTTCTTCCCTGCCCTCCCCTCCTCAATTCCATCTCATCATTTCATCCATTCCCTTCTCTGTCCTCCAATCCTCGGCTCCATCCACTCCCTTGTTTTTCCTCCAACCCCCCCCCCTCCTCCACCCCATTCCCATCCCAAGCCCCCTTTTCCAATTCTTTCCGCTCCCTTTCTTTGCTGTATACCCCTGCTACTGCACAACTCATTCCCTTGCCCTACTCAACTCACCCTGCTCCCTACAAGCCCCTTCCCCTCCTCAACTCCCTCCACCGCCCCACCCCCAATCCTCCACTCAAAGGAATTGGGGGGGAGGGGACGAAATATTTCAAGCACGGGGGGCATTGCGAGGAATCGCCTGTAAAACTACCTCTATCCTGCCCCGCCGCGTGTGTCTGCGTGCGCGCGCGTGCGAGGGCGTGCGTTTGTATTGGCATTCTTCTGGGCAAAAATAAAGAGACCCCCCCCTCGCAGCTTGGAACCTGACGACGCGGAAGCTTCTCAAACAAACACCGCTGGGGTGGTCGCGCATGCGCGCGTGTGTGCGCGTGCGCGTGCGTGCGCGCCTGACGGGCGACGAACACCAGCGAAAGCTGATCTCAAGAAGAAACGTGTTTCTCAATTCCACTGCAAGAACTCCATCAAACTCCTGCGGCCAAGCACCGCGCCGACCTGGCATGAGCGCGCGCGCTCCAGGGCGTCGCCCCGCTGGGGGCAGAAAGAACCAGTCTCAGACAGACTGGCTACGGAAGAACTCACGAGTCCTCGAAGCACGTTTCGACACGGGTGACGATACCCTCCAGCGGAACCCCCCCCCAAGACTCTGCCCAAGACTGCGGTCCCAAGACGTCCGTGCTTGGTCTGCGGGCCACTGGCCATCTAGAGTGCGCCCCACCAAAGGCGCTGGGAGATGCATGAAGCGCAACAGGGTCAAGCCAGCGACGAGAGCAAGCCTGAAAAGCGAACTCCAGATACATGGTGCTGAAGCGAATGGCGACGGCAAAGCACACACTTTGAAACCACCCGGCGCCCTTCCAGACATCTGAAACTGAAATGCGCATGCGAACTCCTGCCACCAGCCGTCATATGTGCACTCCACTGCGGTCTTCCACAACTATGGCTGACGCCCGCACAGCGGCCTGCACCCTGAAATTATCGAACTGCTAACGCTAAAGGAACGGCCCCACATCGCCAAGTCTGCACAATCGCGTAGACCGCATCGGCCCACATGGCAATATCATCCCGAAAAGGCAGCGGCGGTGCATATCCACGGCGAACATTCCACTGATACCAAGCGGAACTGCATGCACGTTGGCCCCATCTGCACCAATCGGCATCGCGCGTCTGAGCGCACGGAGCCGACGGATCAGGAGGGCGAAGATATGAAACTGAAGGGCGAAATTGGCCACCAAATACTGCAACCACCAACCACGTCAGCAGAAGTAATTGCAGGGAGAAACGTTAAGAGCCTCTTCGATGATATCTGACACGCGCGATCCAAAAACCCTAGCTGCTTGGTCTTTCGAACGCCAGTTGGCGTTAAATTCCGACTGCCTTGAAAGTCTCGAACAAAAGCGCGATCTTCTCGTCCTTAGTCTTCGGCAACTTCGTGACACCGTGGCGCTTGAGAAACTTCTCCGCGGCCTTCGGGATCTCCCGCTTCTTCCACTCTTCCTTAAGAATGTCGGCGAAGTCCGAGAGGGGACCGCTGGCTAACTCAAACTTATGACTGAACTCCGCTTCCACCAGCTTCATCTGCAACGAGGAGAGCTCGTTCTCGTTCTGTTTGTGGGCCGAAGGCGGCTCCGAGGGGGCACCCTCAGAGCCCGTTCCGCCGCTCGAGGCAGGCGGGCCGCCACCGGCGGGCACCATCGCGAACCGCGGCGGCGCGGGCGGGAGGAGACCACCGGCTTGGAGGGGCTGCACGACCTGCTGCTGCACGGACTGGTTGAACGACACCTCCATCGCCTTCGCCAAGATCTCACCTTGACGACGGGGCGAATCCTTCTTCTCCTTCTCGGCCTTCTCCTTGACGACCTGGCGATACTCATCCTTATGCTTGGCCAGGTACTTGCGCGCCCTGTCCAACTTTGCCTGGCGACCACCATCAGAACCCGAACTGGGAGAGTCACGACGGCGGCGGCGACTGTCACGATCACGGTCGTCATCTCGTCCTCTAGGAAGACCACGAGGCTGCCACTGCTTGCCGTAGCCACCGTTGTTACCTCCCCACGAGGGCCACTGATGCTGCTGGGGCGGCTTGCCCTTGCCGCCTCCACCCATCTCCAGCTCGAAGAAGATCTTGATACTGACGGTGTCGAAGCCGCGCGCGGAGAGACTCTCGAGCCGAACGGACGGCGGCGGAATTGGGCAATGAGCGAACCAGCTTACGGAGGAAATACGGAGGATAGTCAAGCTGGTGCAACTCCAAGGGAAACTCCAGGATCCCCGGGCTCGCGGCCAAACACGACAACCCCAGGCAACGATATCTGGCCACATCCCCCATTAGGATGCCTCGCAGCGTCCCACACGACATCGGTGACGCACCTGGCCAGGGGAGCACGCGAGACTTTGACCGACTTGCACGGAGAGGAAAGTCCCCCCAACCTGCGCACAGCCACCTCCGATTGGAGTTCCTGGAAAACTTGCTCCACATACAGTTGTACACAACCACAGCAATGGGCAACACTTCCAGACAAACTATAACCCGCATACCTGCCCCAGTTGAAATCGTCTCGGGGAACCCCTGGAAACAGGAAGCCCTGCGCTAGAAGTCGATCACGAGCATGCCGGTCAACTAGTTCGTCAGCCCCAAGCCGAACCGACACCGCAGCCGACGACATAAAACCTCCAATAGCCACCCCAGCCATCTCAACAACAGCGCCCCCCATAACAGTCTTGAAGCAGCCGCAAGAGCTCTACGTAATTGCCCCAAAGAAAAACCACCATCCTCGCCCATATCTCCCAGCCCGGTCCCCATGTTCAGCTACAAACTTCACCCGCCGTCGAATAGGGGGTCTGGAGGCCCCGAACTTCGAGAGATAGTCTTGCTCCAAGAGGCCCCACCCTGGCAAAATTGACGAGAACGCACGCGCTTCAAAGGCATGGTCTACATCGGTCGCGACAACGCGCAGCCCTGGACGCACAACCATTTTGCACCTTTGGCACTGAGTGGGGCGCGAGCCAAATCTCAAGCCCGAAAAAGATTGTTCCATGTGCTGGCGCGCGCAGCTAATGTCAAAAAGACCCCGCGACTGGTCAGCGACTTCCACCGCCGACCGAACTCCTCGGGCAGCGGCCTCCCAGCCTGAGGCAAAAGGAGCGCCGATCATATCCAGGATTCGCCTCCAATGACTATGGCCTGGTTTTGTGCAGACGAGACGGCCGTCATCTGCATGGCATTTACTCTTCGTGAAAGGGAACAGCAGAGGCGGACCCAGCGAGCGCCCAGCACGAGCAGCACTTCGGCGAAGAAAAGCTGGCAAGCCCCAGAACGCCTTCGCATACCCCCACTGCGCAACATTCGCAACCGTTAAATTGCGCCGTGCACGCCACTGCGGGTCTTGAACAACCGCTTGGAATAATCCCAAAACAACCTCTTGAAAATTGATAGCCCATACTTTTGAAGCATCCCGATCATCGCCGGCACGTGCTGTATCACGGCGTTGATGCTGCCGAACTCGCTCAGGGCCATCCCAAACCAGTGGTGGCGGAGGCCGTCGGCGATGCTGACCACTTGCTTGTCGCCAACAACCAAAGCCAAAACCGCGAACAGGCACTGGCAAACGCACTGTCGACGCCCGACGCGACCATGATGCCCGGCACTGGCGCCGCGTAGATGTCCCCCTCGGCCACTTGGGTAAACGCCGCGGAATCACACCTGCGCGTCAGCTCGGCGTTGAAGCCAGCCGTGCTAACTCCGCGCGCGGTAACTGCCTGCACCATACTGGATGAGAAAGAACCCAAGGTTTCCTTGGTATTGATAGCGTCCACATAACGCTCACGTTTGCCAACTTGAACCCGGAACTTGCTGAGAGAATGACCACGCGCAGATTGAAGACGGATGCGCGCGACGGCCCGACGAGCCAGATCCTTCACCACTGCCATGGAACCTTTCATCGCGCAGGGAACCACTAAGGGTGCAACTTGGCATGGCGGTAACTGCTGTCCACGCAAAACTCGCTCCAAGAACATGCTTGCTGCCATTTGCCTAGCACCTCCTCGCACGAACTTGGGGATCTGCTGGCCTGCATGGCAAAAGAACCCCGCGACCATATACTTCGGCGTGCGATCAGGAAACCGAGCGAGACGACGATACGATGCGCAGAAAGCCACAAAGAGATTGATAGAACTCCTGTCAAATAAATCAATGGGGCCCATAAGTCCTGCACGAACACGCTCCACTTGTTGAATGTCCCCATGCAAAGCTGTTAACGGACCAAAAAGTTGCGCACCTGGAAGTAGAGA